CTGGTATGGGTCAGATCAGGCAGAAATACTTCCTAATGTAATTTTATCAGTGTAGTAAAATATAACTGGTTTTGTCATCAGAATCAGAATTCATTGTTATTGGACAAGTCTGTTTAGTGTTTTTCACTCAAGGACAGTAAATATAGCAGTTTGAGATGGGTTTTTGCGATGCAGACTCAGCGCATCTTTGTGGTTGTGCTTGTGTGTTTGTTCAGTAAAACAAGAAGCTGAGACACAGAGTAAGGTGAGATGAGCAATCATGAGAATCCTATTTGGGATTAAGATTAGTGATGTTTGTGTACTCGCAATTCAGGAGGGTAACCAGAGATCCACAAGCTTTCTTTCAAAAAAACACACACACACACACACACACACACACACACACACACACACACACACACACACACACACACACACACACACACACACACACACACACACACACACACACACACACACATATATAGTGGGAGCTATACAGGTGCACACCCACCTTATGCTTTCCTTTATATGTGACAAGTGCTTGGTTTTGGCTGCTAAGTGCTGGGAACGGGAGATTTTCTCCCCTTCCTGCGGCCGCTGGCCTCTACATGGACGTCTGCCTGTGTACACAGGGTTAGGACTGCTGATTGCGGGAAGCCGCTCCCCATTAACCGAGTGAGAGAGTGAGTGTAGCTCATCCCAGTGGGACATGAGGGAGAGAGAGAGAGAGAGAGAGAGAGAGAGAGAGATACACGGGTACACTGGTCCACCCTGAGCCTGGACACAGAGCAGCTTTGATGGACCTCGAATCCCAGGCATTTATGTTCAACCAAACTTGCCCCAGCTGAATGCTAGAGAAGGTTTGCACTTTCAATAGTGAGACAGGAAACGGCCCACTTTCTAATCCATAAATGTTGGTAAATGGTCAATATTTGTGTACCTGTCAGGAATTGCAACAAATGTTGTATATAATCAAGTGTGCTTTGCTGCTGTCTGGGATTTTTGCTTTTGTGATCACATAGTTTGGTCTTTACCAAATGCACTGATAACATGCAAAACATATATTTAATATTTAATGCTATACTGAAGCTTTTGTTGAATGCATATGCGAGAATCACATTAATAGAGCAAAACTCACTCTCTTTCTGATTTGCTATATATGGGGCAGTTATTGTAGTATCATTGATAGTTTTTATTAATAATTTTGTTTAGTTTTTCTTTTTATATTTACCCTTTTCATATTTAATATCCATATTCTCATTTTAATTTAAAAATGTGTAATTTTTATTATTTTATCCTTTTTTAGATTTGTAATTAATTTTTTGTCTAGTTTATAGTTTTTCATTTTAGTTATTTTAGTCAACAAAATGTTTCCTTGGCAGCTAGCTAAAATGAGATAAGTTCAAGTTTTTTAAATTCAATTTTATTGCAGGTACTGTTTATTTGATTAATTTTACGCAAGCTTCTAGGTACTGTTTTTATTTTAATATTTTTAATTTTTATTTTAATTTAAGTAACATTTTTAGTAATTGTATGTTTTATCAGTTTATTATTTTTTTATATATATGTTTAGTATTTTTTGTCTATATAGTTTTTAATAATTTTTCAGTTTTAGTTTGAGTTATTTTAGTACATGAAGTTAAACTAAATAAACCTTGGCAACTAGGTAAAATAAAATACATTTACACTTTTTTATACTTTATTTTATTAATTTCAAGTAGTTTTTGTTTGTATATTTTCCATTTGTATTTACAGTTCAGTAAAAGTTTTAGTCATTTTGTTGTGTTTTTGTAATTTTTATTAGTTTTTTAAAACTATGTCTAATTTAAATTTTTTATTTTAGTTTCAGGTTTCACATCAAATGTACTAAAATAACTAGTGTACTAAAAAAAGTACTAAATCTACTAAAATAAATGCATTTTAGTAAAAAAATTTTTTTCTGTTTTTTTATTTCAGTTAGAAATGTATTTCAAGCAAAAAAAAATTTAATGGTTTGAGTTCACTATAATAACCCTGATTTGAAATCCCAAGAGTGTTATTTTCTCACTGTATTGACTGCCCAGCACACTGCTGTGATTTCACTCTGGGCTGTAGACCTCTGAGTTTTTACCTGGCATTGCGTTCTTGGAGCTGATGGAGGCTGTTAGCACCAAGGCCAGAGATACAGTTGCTATCAATGTTTCTCTGCTGGCATCTGCTGCTGCTCGGCCTTCTGGGATGGCAGCTATGTGGCACGGGCATGAATCAGGGCCTGTGATGACAAGGTCTCATGGGCACCTGCTGCAGCCCGTGCCGGAAAGAGAAGATATGCTGTTATTTGAGAGAGAGTAAACAGGGGAATTAATTTCAAGTCTCTAGGTACGAGCCTCTCGTTACAGAGCAGCAGGGCTCTGTTTAAATAAACTAGCCGTCCCGAGGTGTCAAATTCACCTGTACTAGTCCATCGTCAGGTTTGGTTGGTCAGAAAGAGCTGCCAGCCGAAAAGCATAACAAAAATGGGTAGAAGACAATATGTGAAGACTAATACGGTCACATTTGCATACTTTTTTTGTGCATAAAAAAGCCTGATGTTGATAGTATGAAGCACAACTCACAGAAGAGTCATTTTCAAACCAAGCAGATTTCTTTTGGCCAGTGCAGCAAATTTACTAGACCAATGTGAACCCAATGCGAAATCAACATTCCCATTCATGTGTATTTCACGTGCGAAAATTTGACAAATTCGAATAGTAAATGTAACCAAACCTTAAATCAATCCATGAAGCGGATTATGGGAAGGAATGCACAGTTGTCAGAATCAGAGTGCTGTGATTTACAGAGAAATGCTCTGGTCGACTCTCCGCCGCTCATTATTTACAGGTCGAGTAGGGATGCCTCTACATCTAAACGTTAACAAATGGCTGTGGGTAGTTAACCTGGAGGTCAGAGGTCATCCCATCTCACTCCTCTTACTCAGCCTGGCAGAGCGGAATGTGGAAGCGTGGGACACACACACACACACACACACACACACACACGCTTGCTGTAAGCAGACTGATCTCAGAGCTGTTGTCTTAACTTCTATGACACAGTTAAAGAGGGTTACAATGCAGCTTGTGCAAAGAGGCTGTAACTGAAGGATGGGACAGCATTTATTAAACATAATTGACCCAACAGCATTATATTAAATAATACTCACAAAATACTTTATTTTTATTGAATCCTAAACACACAACATAAACACTTTACAGATATAACGAGACATCCAAACAGACAATAACCTCCTAATACAGGGGTTTACCAAAAAATAAATCAATCAATCAAATCAAATCAAATAATTGCATAAATAAGTAAATCAAAATAAAAAAAATAAAATAAAAGATAGCCGTTTCTAACTTTTACTTTAAAATGAACTCTCAAGTAAATAGAATTGTATACAGAATTCATAGACAGAGTCAAGCGATGTACAAAAAACAACTATAAAGACCTTAAAAATAGTTTATCTTGTGATTATATGAAACTTACCAGTTAAAATCATAAGATTCACCATAAAATTAACAGATTTTTTAAAATTATTATTCAAAGTATATGAAAACATATTTACCAACAATAATTTTTTTTTCTGGCTGAAATGTGCAAAAATGAGCAACTCGTATAACTTGTTTCATATGCAAAGAGGCTGTTTATATAGTCTTAAAGGGACAGCAGCAATACCGTAGTTGTAAGGGTCAAAGAGACAGGGTGCAAAATGGTCATAAAAACTTGGTGCAGCAGAGACTTTAACATTAAAAACTAAAATGATAAAGAAATAAACACATTCTCACTCTGTATGCTCCAGTAAAAATGTTGAACATGAATATCAGATGTCACATTTGCATAGGAGACGACTCATAACTCAGCTGTGCCAAATACCTTTGAAAATCATTAGGAACAGTTCTGTTTCAGCAGCAGTTCCACTTATAGCAACACATTTTCCACATTTGCTTTCTT